TTCTTTTTTATTGCTTGTGCAAGAAAGAGAGGACAAATTTAGGGATGCGATGGTTTTCGGAGTTACTTGATTGGACGTTTGTGTGTGGCATTTGGAATTTGTATTTTGAGGATGCTTGAATTGCATCTGGGAATGAGTTGAATAAGGAAGGGTTTGGTTCTTTTGGATTGTTCAGTGGGGAATAATACTGGGGATCTGAACTGTGGTTACTGTGTTCACTACCGGTTTTATTTGCTGTATGTATGGGGGAAATGAACGTGGGTGTGTGTCTTTCAATGTATTTGGATACCCGTGCTTCATATTTTTATTTCTTTGATTATAAGCTTATGTTATATAAATGTGATATTATTTTGTCTTTTTTATATGCTAATTATTTGATTTCTTTTATATTTTAGGTGATTTCTGGCTATGTTTTAAACAGTTGAGAATTACGTTTTAAATTATTTATAATTGTATGCCTTTTGTATATAACCAATTCCCCTTGATATTGTTACCGGCAATTTATCCCCCTTTGTCAAGCTGTAGTGATTTACATTCTTTCCGTGAAACTTATTTTTGTTTCTTTGCTTGTATACAGATGGATGTAGAAAGGTTGAAGAAGATGGCCAGTTCTGTTCGAACTGGTGGAAAGGGTACCATGAGAAGGTATATTTGTATGTCAAAATCTGATATTATTCCATATCAATTTATGTTTTCTAATATCATTATATACTCCTATATGTTTCCCAAAATAATTTGATGCAACAATTAAAATCTTCATATATTTTTACTAGCCATGCATTGACATTTTCTTATTGCACTTGTATTAGAAATGTTGACATTATCATTTTAAATTATGTATTTGCCCTCTCTTGTAGGAAGAAGAAGGCTGTCCACAAGACTACTACTACAGATGACAAGAGGCTTCAAAGCACCCTGAAGAGAATAGGGGTGAATGCTATCCCTGCAATTGAGGAAGTCAACATCTTTAAGGATGATGTAGTTATCCAGTTTTTAAACCCTAAAGGTAAATATTGATGGGTGATATTTTTAGTGTACATTTGTTTCGACATAGTAAGGATTGATGTAGTTATCCAGTTATCCAGTTTTTAAACCCTAATTGTTAAACATGGAATCTATTGCAGTGCAAGCATCTATTGCTGCCAATACTTGGGTTGTTAGTGGTTCTCCTCAAACAAAGAGTAAGTTTATATATACATCTCGTTCTTCATTTCTGTTTGCTGTTGTAACATCTGACTTGGTTTATGCTGTCTGCGTTGGTGTGTTGCTAAGTCTTAACTTCTTTAGAGATCATTCCTCAGTATCTTATGCAAATGTGTGTGTTCAGTCCGGCTAAGTCAATCTTCAGGCATTGCAGGTGTCAATTGCCTTATGGGCATGGACATCTTAATTGAATGTTTATCACATGAAATGTCCAGACTTGTTATGTTGAATTGGAGCATACATAACATAATTTTCCTCCATTTCTAGCATTAGACTTGACTACAGAATTCCATTTTATTTTTAACTGATCTCGATCTACTTCTAGATTACATTTTACTTAACACAATTTTCTGTTTCGCAGAACTGCAGGATATTCTCCCTAACATCATCCACCAATTAGGTGTGTGATATGTATCTTCTTAAAGCTTAAGCTTTAGATTCATTATTTTCTTTCTCTGTCTTGCTAATCTGTAGCTGTTTATTCTAAAAAAAATGCAGGGCCAGATAACCTGGAAAACCTAAAGAAACTAGCTGAACAATTTCAGAAGCAGGCACCTGAAGCAGGAGCTGCTGCAACCACAGCACAGGATGATGATGATGATGATGAGGCTGTCCCGGATCTTGTCCCAGGAGAGACTTTTGAGGCAGTTGCTGAGGAGACTAAGTCTTAGAATTTTTTTACTGTGTCGTCTTTTATATATTTTGGATGTTTCTTAAGCTTTTTGCTTTCATTTTTGCCCTTTTAAAATTGAAAGTTTTTCAGGTGTTGTTTATACTTTAAATTGTTAAAACACTCTTAATTGTGGGCCCCATCATCTAACTAGAAAGTGTTACCATCTGACTGCACCTGAGTTTGTGTATTGTATGTTCATTTTTCGAGGTAAAAATCAATTTTGTTAATTTACACTTTTTGTTACCTCATGCAAGCAGCCAATTCTGAAGTTTGTGGGGTTATGTTGTAATGCCAGTGAATAAGAATCCATCATTAATATTTTGAGGAAGAGATTTATGCAGACACAGCTGACATGAAATTAGTGGTGATGAAACTGGGTTTGTCCTCAAACTTCTACAAACCCGGAAGTGTTTGAGATATATTTGGATGTTTTTATTGTTACGATTGAAATTTTGTTAAAAGTCTCGAACTGAAGATTGCTTTATGCCGAGTTATCTGTTTAACATCTAAACCATTCGATCGTATCAATATTTATATAATTGTTAGATGCTAGATTACAATTAAGAATGTATAAACTAAAAGACAAGCACATAGCAGAATTAAGAACTACATAATACCTGCGAGAGTACTCTAAATGTTCTATATTAACATGGGTTACTCATCACAGCCCCAGTTGATTGAAAGAATGTCGATTTTGATAAATTTTCAACTTGAGCTAATCATGACTGTAAATATTATCTCACAACGAAGACTGCATAAATCAATTATTCAAAACCCAAGAACGTGGTGAGAATGCTAATACATAGATTAACTATTCAAACATAAACAAGTATTTTGGTTTTATTCTTATATCTTTTTACTATTACTTTATATGTTGTTTCAAACCCTAAATGCATAATATAAATTCTTTTAAAATCTTATGTCTTGCTATTATTTTTCCATTTTTAAAAATCTTTATAGTATAAATTCACTAAAAATTTTAACTACAAAATTTTAATCACAAAAGGCTTTTAAAAAAATCACGACAATCCTATGTAATCTTGTAAAATTATCAATATTTATTTTGTCAAGCTCATACATCTTTGTTTGAATTATATTTGAAGATTAATTTTTTTTCTTGGTTTACAATTATTACATATTTCTTTTAAATATTGAATTGTACCCATGCGTAAACTCATATAAAAGGAAATCTATCGACATTTTTTGTGGGTACGCAATGAGTAATGTAACCATTTTTTTAAATGTGACATATAATGGATAATTATTGTGTCTAGCAAATTGTTGTTACTCATATACAAAAATAATTAATAACAACTTTTTTTTAATGAGACGGATAATTGATAAATATTATATGTATTTGTCTCCTAAAGTTTTCAGATAAGACAGATAATAAATGAAAGAAAAATATGGAGTGTTTAATAATAAAAAAGAAGAAAAAAAATTTATTTTTAGATTTTTATATTATATTTGAAATTGGATTCGTGCCTTTCAAGGTGTTTGATAATGAAAAAGAAAAAATAATTTTGGTTAAGTATGTTTTAGTTTCTGAATTTATATTCAAAATTAAAATTTATTCTTCTAAAACTTCATGTAAAAGTCATCTTTATATTCAAAATGTGTGAAATGATGCTTATTTTTGAAGTACAAGGAAAACACTAATAATAGGGACTTGAATAGCATTTGTAAATTTTTTTCATAAAATAACGCTTGTCAACTATAGTGGGGATTAAACAATTTGCTATAAAAGTTAGACAATTTGTTATAGTTGTTATACAATTGTATTTTTAATAAAAAAATTTAAGAAAATATTTTAAATAAATAGATAATAACATAGGTATTTTTTATACTGGTTCATTCAATCTAAGCTACGTTCAGTCTTTTCCAATAACTCTTTAGAGATTCTCCTAATCATATCCAAGATTACAATTGAATTTAACTCACTCCTGATTGCAAGTATTATCACTACTCTTGGTTCCCTAGTCAATCCTTACTAGACTGAGTATTCTAAACTACTCTTGGTTTCCCTAGTTAATCTTGACTAGTCCAAGTATTCTAAACACTTTTGGTATCAACCCTAGTCAATTCGAACTAGTCCGAGTTTATCCACTCCTAGTTCTCAAGTATTATAATCACTCTTAGTATACATTGAGTATTGTCGATCACTAATGGTTTCCTAATTAATCCTAACTGGTACAAATAGCTCAATACAAGTGTTTTAATACAGACAACTTCATATCTGAATAACTCTTTGAGGGAGGATCAATTCAATACATGCATGATGATGTCTCAATAATTTTTTTAGGTGTGTAACAACAATGATAATGTGGACATATTATACTTTATATGCATGATGATATAATTCACTTGTTGAAACTTCATTTTTGACATGTTATAAGACATAACCCAAGACACATTATACATAAACCAAATCAATGAAAAGTATAAAAAATTAAGATAAATTACATAAATAAATAAAAACATAAGAAAATTAGTATTCCGTTAAAGTCAACTTCTCATGGAATAGAATGTTGTAACACAAATCCAACACAATCTAGACATATAACATTTACAATAAAAACATAATCTTTCTAGCCTCAGATACTTATTACATGTCCATATCTGCATTGTCATTATACACCTGAAAGAATTAAAGACGTTCAAAATGAAAGATATGTTCTATTCATTATAAAAATGACTTTTATAAGAAGGATGAAAGAGGAATAAATTTCAAAATGCACATGAAAGTTCTAAAAGCATACTTAACCTAAATGATTTAATAAGTAAAGAATTATAAATTTTTACAAAGGTGAAGATAGTGTAATAAGATTATTAGAGAACATGGACGACAAAAAGGGAGCATTTTATAGGGTTAAAGCTCACACAGGCATGTCAAAAACAAAGGTCAGGGATGGAGATGCATGTGGTCTACTTAGGGCACACATTAAAAACAATTAACGCTTAACCAATGTTCAGTCTTAAATAATATAACATATGAATATGATTGTAGCGTGTGAATTGAATATACAACATCTAGTCAAACCATTGCTAAATTCAAAACTTTAAAATATAAAATTGTTAAATTCTGCAAATAATATCTCGTATTATATATAATAAAATAAACGAAAGAAACATTTTAAAAAATTATTAGAAAGTACAATATCAAAATACAAAAAGCAATGACTAATGATAAAAAAAAAAAAACTCCTTTCTAGTAAAGAGTTTATAATAGAGAAAAACAATTGTGCATGAACTACTCTAACAATGAAATCATGCAAAAACTTGCTGGGACAAAATTTGTATACCAAACGACAAGTTAACACAATAGTTCTAGTCAAATTCAGCAAAATGGTAAAATTCAAACAAATAAAACTAAACATTCCCCAAAACTACAACATGACAAATTCGATTTTGACAGCTAAACTGCAATTACATCATTGTTTACTCGGTTTCCTTTTTTGATTTCTTTTTCTTCTTCTTAGACTCTTCACCAGTCTCCACTACATTATTGACCTTCTTATTCTTCTTCTTTTTAGCTGTTCCATCCTGCTCATTCACGACCCCATTGGCACCATCGTCTTCAGCCTGATCCTCATGTTCGGTCTCCTGTTCCAACTTCCTCTTTTCTTTCTTTTTCTTTTTCTTCTCTGATTTATGATCTTCCACAGCATCACCATTTGTAACTTTTGTAGGCTTATCTAGAATCATGTCACCACCTTCGTCAGCAGCAGCTTTTTGGTTCTTCTTTTTGGATTTCTTGCCTGAAACTTCAGCGGGCGCTTCTGTTTCCATCTCAGTATCTGCACAGTTAGTACACATTAGCATCCACCCCAGGACATGAAACTTACTACGACCTGCAACTTTTATGTTTCATAACTATCCACCATATTACGAACAATATATATGCGCCCAAGTCGAGTTGAGATACAATTAAAACCAAAATTAATTTGGTGAAAATCACAACAGAAAAATCAGGTGACTGTATAACCTTTATTTTCAGCACTTTCAATAGCAGACTGCATGACATCTATGTTCTTGCGAGGGGCAACTCCCTTGTCATAAAAGTCGAGTCGTTCCTCAACTTGCTCACGGAGTTTCTCCCCAAACACAGTAGTACCCCTTTCTGCATTGAGGTACAACAAAATCATGACAAAGGTGACACGTACAGCCATGAATATTTCTAAATTAAATATGTAAGAAACAAACCAGAAAAGCAGTCAATCCGTGATGCAATTGAGCACTTGTTTGCAAGGTAACGAGCCATTCTGCCCTTATTTTTGGCAGATGCCCGACCAATAAAAGAAGAGTGGAATATCAAACCATATTTGGGAGTGTTTCCTCTGGTTTTCAATGCCCTGAATAAAGAAAGCAAAACAATATAAAGCTGTAGACGGCGCACAAGGAAAAGTAATGTCTGTATTTTAGCCATCTAAACAATGGAATTACCAAATCCCTGCAGTTTCACTTTTACAAATGATGCCATGTTTGTTTTAGTTCAAACTTCCAATAAACAAATTCACAGTTCAAAACTAAAGAAACTCCAAAACAAAAGGCGTAGTTTAAACCTGAACAAAGCCTTCTCTGCACCAAGAATTTGAAGAGTTGATGAGGGGCACTTGGCTAAATTTGTGAGACTACCAGCATGCGAAATCAAACGAGCACCAACAACTTCACCAATTAAAGAGGCCAAATTTGGCGCAATATCATTCATTTTAGCAACCAGGTAGTCATAAAGGTTCTTCCTGTACTCAGACAGATCCATTACCCTCTGTGCAAATTGTTGGACATTGATCAAGTCAACTGGAGACAGATCCTGTCCTGAAAAAAATCAACAGAAAGAAGACTTGAATACAGAATAAAGCAAAAGTTAAAACCACCAGATACATTTGTTTCACAATTTTTTTTTGCATTTCAGGGTATATGAAAGAGGGAATATTCATCCTTATGTCTGTTAGAAAGATATAAAATTATTTCCAGATATATTCTCTTCACATGTCTATACAGTTTTTATTATCAAGTGCAAGAAAACTACATTCTCATGGGAATATTGAACTTAATTTTCAAACCCCATTAAAGCTTTCACTTCACCTTTATTATAACCATTTCTAAAATTTAAAAAGGATTCCTAGGGAAATCAAAATTAAGCCAAACACAAGTTCAAATGTCTTAGAATCAAATTCAATTGATAATATTCCTGGATAATGATTCATAGGGAAACATTATATAATGAAACA